CCACTGCACTCTAGCCTGGGTGACAGAGACAGTCTCTGCATCCAAAAAAAAAAAAAAAAAAAAAAAAGAACTTAGCATTAAGGGTAGAAAAAGGGAGCCAGGCATGGTGGTGCATGCCTGTAGCCTACTCAGGAGGTTAAGGCAGGATTGCTTGAGTCCAGGAGTTCAAGGCCACAGTATTCCACTGCAGCACACAGGCCTCGGCAATACAGGGAGAAAAGCTGGGTGTAGCGGCTTGCACCTGTAATCCCAGCACTTTGGAAAGCCAAGGAGGGAGGATTGATTGAGCCCGGGAGTTCAAGACCATTCTGGGTAACACAGAAAGACCCATCTCTATATACACAAAAATTAACTGGGCATGGTAGCACGTACCTATGGTCCTAGCTACTTGGGAGGCTTAGGTGAGATCACTTGAGCCCAGGAGTTTTGAGGCTGCAGTAAGCTATGATCACACCACTGCACTACAGCCTGGATGACAGAATGAGACCATCTCTTTTAAAACAAAACAAAGCAAAAGGTAGAAAAAAGGGGAGAGCTGGCCAGGTGTGGTGGCTCATGCCTGTAATCCAGCACTTTGGGAGGCCGAGGCGGGTGGATCATGAGATCAGGAGTTCGAGACCAGACCAACATGGTGAAACCCCGTCTCTACTAAAAATACAAAAATTAGCTGGGTGTGGTAATGCGCGCCTGTAATCCCAGCTACTTGGAAGGCTGAGGTAGGAGAATCGCTTGAATCTGGGAGGCAGAGGTTGCAGTGAGCTGAGATCGCACCACTGCACTCCAGCCTCAGCGACAGAGCAAGACACTGTCTCAAAAAAAAGAAAAAAAGGAAAAAGGGGAGAGTAGTAGCACTGCAACCCACAGGATGCATCTTCAGGAAACACTTGGGAACTGCCACGAAGCTATATAAGCACACAGCAGGCCTATGTGCATGCTGAGAGAAGTAGTGCTGTTGCTTATTAAGATTTGCTAATTAAAAACTATGTCCAGTCCCTTGATAAAACTAAACAAAAGCTTTAATCATAAACATCTGCATAATTTGCCTTCTACCAACTATGTGGCAATGGACTGAATGCTTTTGTTCCCCTAAAATTCATATGTTGAAATCCTAACCCCCAAAGTGATGGTATTAGGAGGGGAGGGCTTTGGGAGGTGATTATATTATGGAAGCAGAGACCTCAGGATTGAGATCAGTGCCATTACAAAACAGACTCCACGGAGTTAGCTAGCCCCTTGCACCATATGAGGAAGTCTCTTCTATGAACTAGACTGCAGGTGCATCCAGATACTGAATCTGCCAGTGCTTTGATCTTGGACTTCCCAGCCTCCAGAACTGTAAGAAATACATTTCTGTTGTTTAGCAGCCACTCAGTTTATGGTATTTTGTTACAGCAGCCTGAATGGACTAAGACACATCCTAAATACATGGGATTTTAGACTGTCTCAACATAGGTATAATGGGGAATGTACCAACCTCAAAGCCAGTCACTGACCTGCAGCAAGTAGCCGAAGTCGTAAACCTGCAGGTCCAGTTCCATCTCGAAGAACATCTACACTCTCAGCATACACATTGCCCAGGAAACAGCTCAGAGGCATTATGGGAGCCCTGGGGACAGGCACAGAATGAGCAGAGGCTTGGTTCTTTCTCCTAGGCAGCCCAGGCCTTAGCATGAAACTCATGCTCCTTACACTTACTTGGTATCCTGTAGGCTGTTGCCACTGTAGATATACATTCGTTTTACAGTTGCTCCATGGGGTATCTGGAGAGAAGCCAGGCCATGGGCAAAATTGGGCTGCAAACAAAGGTCAAGAGTTTTACTTAGGGCACTACAGGTCATGGGACTCAGGCTCTGGTCTTCCCTGTCACTCATGGTCTTCAAGAGCTGCTCAGGTCAAAGGGTCAAAGCACATCCTCAAACCTGGCTCTCTGGCTCTGGGTCAGTAAACTCCCCAAAACCATGCAGGTCCACCTTTAATTCTGCTTGGTTTTCCTTTCCTTTTCTTTTTTTTTTTTTTTGAGACAGAGTCTCACTCTGTTGCCCAGGCTGGAGTACAGTGGCATGATCTCAGCTCACTGCAACCTCCACCTCCCGAGTTCAAGTGATTCTCCTGCCTCAGCTTCCCGAGTAGCTAGGACTATAAGCATGCACCACCACAACTGGCTAATTTTTTGAGATGGAGTCTTGCTCTGTCACCTAGGCTAGAGTG